AAAAAGAATAAGCACAGAAGTCAGATGCAGAAAACTGTGTTTTCCATTAGGCTGTAGGCTCTTTGCAGGCTGAGATTTTCGTCTTTGATGTTTCTTCCAGTGATGTATTTCCAGGGCTCAGGACAGTGCCTAGCATGTAGTGGGTATTCAGTGCATTTTCCAAGGTTTGTGATGAGTGACAGAAAAGGAGAATGAGGAAGTATGTTTTCTCAAGTACAGGAATTAGACAGGAATAGAAAACTAGAGAGGTTACATATGAAAGATGTTTGATGTGTAATTAACTATCAAGTATGATGTGCCAGAGGAGGTAGTTTACTGTGATTTCAAGGAGGAGTGAAAACAGAGGTACAATAGTAGAAAGGGAATGTTAGGTCAGATAACTCATGTAATCTGGAGAGGCCACCATGAAGCCAGGGGCCAGAAAAGTCCCGAGGAGAGTGAAGAGAATTCTCCAGTCACACAGCCTCCCATTAGGCCTCATTACGTCTACCCAGGAACACCTACAAGCGCCACCTCCTATCTGGTCTTCCTCGACTCCTATGGATTATGAGACAGCAGGGATGAGGAAGCAAAGTGACTTTGATAAGCTACTTAGCCCTTATTGAACCTCAGTTTCTTCACTGCCAAGAAAAGGGGGTATGGTACTGATTTAATAGGATTAATGTGAGTATTCCATGAATTAGTATATGTAAATGTACTTCTTAGCATATGAAAAGTTCTCAATATAATTAGTTATCATTAAAATCACCACCATTATTATTGTTGATGATCATCTTTAGCTCTGGCCCTAGGAGAAGGATATATCCTAGGCATTAAATAGTTCTTTTATAAACTCAGTGTCCTCACAACCCTTCTCTTCTCTTATAATTATAATCTCAATTTATAGCACCACATCAACCCAGTCTCAGTCTAAAAACCTGAGGGTCAGTCACTTTTGACTCCTTTCTCTCCATCTCCAGCCAATTGGTTATCAGCTGCAATAAATTCTACTGTAGAAATATCTCTTAAACCTAGCCCTTCATCATCTCCCAGTCACTGCCCCTTCTAGTCCATACTCCACATTGCTACCCAAGTGTGGTAAAAACATGTGGGATCTGGAGTGAGTGCCTCGGGTCACATCCTGACTCTGCAACCTAACAATAAGACTTTGGCTACATTTTTCCATACCCCTGAGTCTGTTTTCCCATCTGTAAAAAGAAAACTATAACAGTACCAGCTCATAGGGTTTTGTATTTATCAAGTTAATAGGTGTTCAAGTGTTTACAGTATCTTGCACAAAGAGGCATAGTCTGCTTCCTTCACTACCAGGTGAGCCTTTCAGTAGATACCTAGTCTTGTTCCTCTCTGTGTCCCAATTTTTTTAGCAGAGTATCTCCTCCATACAGTGTGCTAATATGCAATGAATGAATGATCATGGGAATAAGGAAGGTTATTTAATAACAATATATTATAATAATCAATAATATTAATATTTAAAATAGCAATAATCAAGGAGTTTGAAAAATACTTCTTGTCCAAACTATATCAAAAGTATATTAGTCAAATGGCATAAGCTGACAATCAAGAATGTCTCAGCCATTTTTGCTAACTGTACTCTCACCCAAAGGACAGTCAATTGGAGTAGCCATTAGATAACCATGGACAACACTCTAAACGTTGGTATGAGTGAATATAGAGAAAGCTATCAGAAAGGTGTATAACCTTCTCTTTTAAATATGTTTTTATTTAATATTTAGCCACCCAAAATTTAAAACTGAAGGAAATTAGGGCCTACAGAATAGTCGTAAGGAAAGCTCAGGTTTTGGTGTTTTTTTAAAAAGAGGATTTTAAAAGCCTTTTACTTTTCTCTAAAGTTGGAGTTGCTGCTCTTAAGTGTCTAGAACCAGACAGTTGCAGGGAATCTGTGAGGAAAGTGGTGAGGAAATACCCAAA